GTGGTGGGATTAGTATATCTTATCGTCAGGAATATCTGGTGTCATGAATTTGCTTGGGTTTTCCCGAAATTGATCAGCGAGTGTTGAATTCACCTTTTCAGGCAGAGGGGCTAATGGAATAATGTTATCTCTATCGATAACTCCATCGATTATTCCATACTCAACAGCTTCAATTGGGGACATATAACGGTCTCTGTCAATATCTTTCTCAACTTCTTCAAATGGGCGGCCAGTGAACTCTGAGATTAATCTTGTGACATTTTTCTTGTTATTCTGAAGCTCTCTTGCCAGAATTTCTACATCAATTGCTTCTCCACCAGCACCTCCACGTGGTCGATGCATCATTATCCTTGCATTGGGCATAGCAAGACGCTTGCCTTTGGTACCACCACCAAGGACTATTGAAGCGGTTGATGCCACGATTCCAAGTGCCACTGTGGAAACATCAGCCCTTACAAGCTGTACCACATCATAGATTGCCAATGTAGCACTGATGTAAATTGCAAAAGCAGAAACACATCAGCAAAGGTTAAGGAAAGCAAAAGGAGTAGAATCCAGAAAGCAAATGGTCAAAGCAACATCAAATGTCTATAGGAATTTCTAATAGGAATATATCTATTCTTTCATTTTTCACTAATACCTTCAATCCAAACATCACAATGACTGAGTGAACACATTTCTTTATGCAGTCAAACCATAAAATGCATGAGCTTACAAGTTACAAGTCCTCATAGCAGCAAGAGGGAAACCACAACATTGAAAAACTCAATACCCTTTGAATTCTGACAAATCAACTTGTATAAGCAGCTAACAATGAAGTCATCCTATGTTGTGTACCAAATTAATAAAGTAGAGATGGTTTAAGAATAAGAGGCTACTCTTCAGCATGATCATCTGTAATCAGTATGGCCATATAGGATAACTATTTTATCTGTTCTAAACTTCTAATCCTATGTTTGGTGCATAGAACATAACATACATTAAACCCAGAATAATCATCTCTTCTAAGTTTTTTGATCAGAAACCCCAAATAAACGTTAAAGTTAAAATTTTTTCCCATGAAAAGTTTGTCCTTCAAACCCAGGTTCTCTTACAAATTTGCATAGAGAGAACATAGCCTACAGAATATTTTGACCCATGAGAAAATATATGCAGAGGAAAGCATTATCTATTTATGTTTCATCAATTTTTCTTCATCTAATAGAGCATAATTCCTTACTACTTGGACATAAAAGAACTAGTTAATGTTAAATGCATTTCATCAATCTCCAAACTAAGTACAAAATTGCCAATGAATGCATTAATTATGAAATGAGTGAGTTTATCAACTAAGCACAAATGGTACAAATGCTATTAAAAAACCAAATAATTGAAAAAGAGAGTAACTTCAACTTTCATTTATTCTTCTAATTACACAACAAAAGAAAATCAAAATTGCTTCAAATTTATACCTCAAAGAACCACCTGAAGAATTAATGAAGAGCCTGATGTCTTTCTTCGGGTCCTTCGCATCCAGCAGCATCAACTGACTGATAATTCAATCAGCCACGAAATCATCAATGTCGCTCCCTAGGAACACAATCCGGTCCTTGAGCAGCAGTCCCATGGCGTCAGCCTCCGCCCCTCGCACAGCCATCTCCTGCGTCTGAGAGGCGAAGATTTGGGAAGAGAAGTCATGGGAAAGGGTTTTAGCGAATCTGGGGTAGCGCGAAAGGGATTGGTGGGATTCAAGGGAGGTTTTGAGGGTCTAAGAGATGGGTTTTAAAGATAAAAAAGAGGACTTTGGCATCCATGGAGAGGGTTTCAAAGAGGAGAAAGAAGGGGTTACAGGAGTAGAGAGGGAGAGCACGTCCATGGCAACCACAGATGAAGAGAAAATCGGGGATTTGGGTAATGTGTTTGGTTTGGTGTTCCAACTTCGAAGGGACTGAGGTTTCCCGCTTTTGGTGGTTTTTTTTTTTTTTTTTTTTGAATCCCGCTTCAACCAAACATACCCCCTAAATTATTTTTTCTTTACCAAACGATTTCCTCGAGCAAGCCCTTATTTTTTCTCGAGTACCAAAC